AATATCTATCTTGTATAATTACCAGCTATGTCCATTTATAAGTAGCTCATTACAAAAATTGGCCAATTGATAAAATATTACTAATATTAGCCAAATTAGCCAATTAGCTATTTGTAGCAAAAAATATCAAATTTTTGCTTTGTTTTGAGTGGGTGTTATTAGAATAGATTGGGCACAACTTAAGGAGCGTGAATCTCAGTTTTTGGATGATTTGGTGAAGTTTTGAGGTGGTTTGACTTGAAAATTTGAAGTAAAAGCTGAACATGAAAAAAATGATATGTGTATCACACTGTGTATCATTTGTGTATCACGTATGTATCATATTTGTACCAATTGTGTATCACATGTATATCCATGTATACCTGTGTGTGTTATACATGCGTGATACATGTTTGATACATGTGTCGCAGAAGACTTTTTTGAACTCGATTTAATTACGAATTTTGATACAAAACCAGTCCAAATCACCTCCAATCTTCCTCAAATTTTGTATATTGACTTATCTATATATTTTCAATGAATTTCAACTATACCCATTGAAAAAGTTCCTTTTTTGTTTAGATTTTTGAAATACTGTATAGATTTTTGTATTTCATCACCTTATTTGCTACCCCGTCCATGAAATTTCCTTTCCATCTTGTATCTAATGTTGCTAATCACACTTAAAAATATGGAAGGTGATTTTTGCATGTGATTTTTTGAGAGAAAAAACCTATTATTTGGTTTTTCAATTTTTGTTGGCTAGTTTTGGTAAGTCTATGACTAATGGCTAGAGGTTGGTAAGTTGAGATTTATTTGGGACATTTGTGTAAGTTTTCCTATTTTTTTGTATAGTAACAGTCTATTTTGTATAGTGACAGTCTATTTAGTATATATTTTTTGTATAGTGACAGTCTATTGTATATAAATTGTACAGTAACAGAATGACAATCTATTTATTTTTGTATAGTGACAGTCTATTGTATATAAATTGTACAGTGACAGACTGACAGTCTATTTATTTTTGCATAGTGACAATCTATTTTGTATATATTATGTATAGTGACAGTCTATTATATATAAATTGTATAGTGACAATCTATTTAGTATATTTTTTGTATAGTGACAGTCTATTTTATATATATTTTGTATAGTGAAGGCTATGCATTTTTCAAATTAATGATGCCATCATGTTTTGCACACGTTGATGCTCCACCATAGAGTTCATTAATGTATGTTATTTTCATACTCGACTCCTCTATTTAGGGCATTTCTTGAAAGAAAATGACACTAAACACCACACTAGCATTTTGGTGATTGACAGTTCTTTTTTATTTATTTATTTATACATAAAGGATTTTCGCCATGCAAATATATATATATATATATATATATGATAGTGAAGGGCAAATTCCACAAATGGTCAAATACTTATGATCTTTTTTATCAAAGTCATACACCTATGTTTTCTCACATAAAAATCATAAAAGCTGCTAGTAACTCACAAAAAAAAAAAAACGTAATGACCGAAAAGGCGAAAACTACAACTTTTCGATAGCAATTTTTTATTTTTCAGTCTAACAAATAATAATCAAATTAAAATAGGAATGACCCAACCTAATATAAGTATAAATAAATTGAAATAATACTAAAATTGAATCATCCTCTCAAAATACACGTAACTTCTATTTTTGGAGTATTTTGCTTTTTAAAATTTTAATAATTTATCTCACTTACAGTATGGGCACATATTGAACTCATATAGGAAAAGGCAAAAAGTAACATTTATGACAAAGTTTTATTTTTATATTTTTCATAAGTATGTATAAAATATTAATATTAAATAGCATAAAAGCCAAAAAATAATAAAATAATGAATGATTCCCTTTGAATAAATTAAAAGCCATCTTAGAAGCCATCTCCTATTGTGTTTCCTTGATAGTTGGGTTTGTTAATTTCGGCTAGCCGCTAGAATTAGTTTTGGGCTATAAAATGTATATTGCAATTTGTGACTACCGATTGTAATTAGTTTTTTCTGAATGGCTAGAAGTGATAATAGCTCAACATTTTCCTAAATATTAAGTCACATACTATGCATAACTTTTAACGTACGATTACTAGAATTAAAAAGACAATTAAAATGTGGCTTGTAGTACGCAGAGCAACTCTTTTTGCTAGTAAAAAAAATTGTATCGCATATTTAATTAAGTTGAAATATACACTAAGTAACTCTGGCAACTATTTGAATTGGCTCAATTATTTGAGTGGAGTTTGGAATTAAATTCTACTGAGGTAGGTCGTAGTTTTTATATATTTTTTTACATCTTTATAGTAGTATAAATTAGGCAAACCAGTTCACAAGCAACAACATTTGCAAGGCAAAGTATACTATTCTTACTCTTAATATATGAAGGGAAACAAAAAATAGCTAGTGACTAACACCATGAAGATCCATCAATTAGAAAACTCCTACGTCCGTAAAATCTACGTTACTCGAATTTAAAAAAATTTGCGGTAACTAACACCATGAAGATCCATCAATTGGTCTTCGAGCTTGTCCTCTTTATCCTTCAACTCATAGAGACGATTTGTAGCTTCAAATCTTTCTCTCGTCGTATCATGTTGATGATCTTCTTGCATCCTACGTAAGTGATCAATGTAGTTTGTCATCTCTTGTATCTGTTCTCTCACATTATCCAACTCATTCTTCAAGTTCTCTTTGCTATTGCTTGACGAAGACATTCTTGCTTTTTGTATATATGTCAAACTCGAACAACTGCAATACATAACATAGTTAAATAGATTAATAGAAAACTAAACCAATATACGTTAACAATTTCTTTACTTTTTTTGTATGTCAAAACATATTGTTTTATCCATGTACGTACTATAATTCTTTTGGAACTAAATTTAAGCTAAAATACTTTCAAATAAATTTTTGAGAGCGTGGTATGAGAATAAGTAAATGCAAAGAATTAAAGATTTGAATTTAAGCATGACAAAAAAAAAGAATAAGGAAAGAATTAAAGCATTGGCCGCAGGCCTGGGTCGAGCCAAGTGAGCTCAATCGAGCTTACTACAATACCGAGCTGTTGAGCCCAAGCTGAGTTCACTCGAACTTGTTATAGTATTGAACTGAATCGAGCTCGAATCTGCTCTTAATGTTTAGTTCCAATGAGATTAACTTAATATATATTGAATAGAAAATAAAAATTTCGAGTAGTTTTAATAATAAAGCAGCAATAAATTCTAAAATGTGTACAATATTAAAAAAAAGTTAAATTAAATTCTTAAACATAAAATTTTAATTGCATTTCGTATCACACATAAAGTAGGCTAAGTAACGTGTTATATATATATATATATATATATATATATATATATATATATATATATATAATTGTATAGGGCAAAGTATGATACGACACGTGGCCATTTAAAGGAAGGACATGTGGAACCCGTGACGGGGATGGCCGAAGACCGAACACAAATATTCCGCTTGTCACAGGAAGGGATAACGTTCATAAAAGTTTGTTAAATGCCCTGCCCCGGTAGCATTTAATAAAGAATATTCTGCAGCATTAAGAGCAACGGCCCGTTACAGGAAATTTGGCATTTATGTCCACCGTTACATCTTCATTAATAACCCTTATAATTGACATTAAAGGAGGGCACGATCGTAGGACCTCCTTCCCTAGACACAAATATAAATAGTGAGCTTAGTTATCATTGTAAGGGGCACGAATATTTTGGTAAACTTGCACTACATTCTATACAAAGCTTAATATAATTTTACTTTCTTGCTTTTTGATTTCATTGTTACTATGCCCGAAAATCTTGTTCCCGGAACTGTCATCTCTACTGTTTCATCTACATCCTAAGACTACGTATTGCATAATTCTTTACTTATTTTATTATTTTCAGGATCAAATTAGTTCACTTGTCTAGAAATCACGTATAACTTCAACTGTATCGTTTTAAGGGTAAACAGTTTGGCGCCCACCGTAGGGCCTAGACAGTCGTGCAATTAAATTGATCCTTGCGTTTTTTACTAACGTGCTTTGAGTATTTTGTCTTAGAAGAAATCATAAGAAATGACAGATAACATTATTAACAACACCCACAACCCCGAGGTCCGAGGAGATCAGCCTCACTTCGAAGACCCAATCGGTGATACCCGCAATGAGGGGGATGACGCCACACCGGCACGTGACAGGCAGTATCCTCCACATGTCCGGGAGACGACTCCCGATGATGCTGATGAGGAGCATGTTGTCGACGCAGTAAGGGTCTTGCAAGAATAATAGGCGATCATTCTAGGCCATCTCACGCGGCAAGATAAGGTTATGACGGAGTTGAAGTAGGCACTGTCGGGGGCTTCGAATAATGTAAACAGGCGAGATCCAATTCCTCCCTGTATTCCCGCTAACCAAACAACGCAGAGGGTCGACAACAACACTCCCAGGGGTGAAGTTGGCTCCGACGGGGCTGGGGGGAACGGATCCAGTCGTAATAACGAGAACGATCCTTTTAAGAATGAACTTTTGCAATTTATGAGGTAAGTAAACGCCCGTATGGACCAAATCCCCCGCGCGCCACCAATACTGAAGGGCCCGAAATCCAAGAAGTATACTCAATTGCCGTACAAGCCGAGTGCTGCACCAGAATTAATCCCGAAACGGTTTAAAATGCCTGAAGTGCCAAAGTATGATGGACCTTTAGATCTAAAGGAGCATATTACCACCTACACAACGGCGGTAAAAGGGAATGGTCTAGCTCCTCACGAAATTGAATCTGTGTGGTTAAAGAAATTTGGAGAAACTCTTACGAGGGAAGCTTTGAAGTGGTACTCGCCGTTACCCGAGCATTCCATAGATTCCTTCGAAATGCTCGCGAATTCTTTCATCAAGGCCCATGCCGGGGCCAAAAACGTACAAGCCCGGAAGGCTGATATATTCAGGATTGCGTAGGGAGAATCCGAGTTATTACGAGAATACGTTACCCGATTCTAGAAGGAAAGAATGTTGCTCCCGGCTGTCCCGGATGAATGGGCAGCAGAAGCATTCACCAAAGGGCTGAATCCGAGAAGTTCAGACGCCTCCCAGAAGTTAAAGGAAAGCTTGCTTGAATTTCAAGCAACGGCTTGGGCGGATGTCCACAACCAGTAAGAGTCAAAAATAAGGATTGAAGATGATCAGGTTGGTTTTCCATCATCGACCAAAGGATGGAATAAGAACAGAGAAAAATCAAAAGATGATTACGACAGGGACAGATAGACTTCGAGGGGCCAGTTTTTGACCTACGAATGGACTGAAGGCCGTGGCAGAGGCTTTCGGACATCAGACAAGTTCACCGTTGACAGAAGGACTGATCGCGGTCGGAACAACATATCACTGTAACATAAAGAAACGTCGGGGTCACGGGATCCTTCTTACCCCAAGTTATTGGAATACAACTTCAACGTCAGTGTTGTAGATTTGGTGCCAGCCATGAGAAACATCAAAGAGGCACGGTTCCCGAGACTGATAAGATCTGATCCCATCCATAGAGATCCCAACTTGTGGTATGAATACCATGGGACAAATGGCCACCGGAAAGGGGACTGCCAACACCTTCGGAAAGAAGTGGCAACGCTATTGAAAAATGGTCACCTGAGAGAGTTCTTAAGAGACCGAGCTAAGAACAATTATGGTCGTAACAGAGACAACGCAGAACCTTCAAAATCAGGAGAAGAACCCCCACGCCAAACAATTAATATGATCTTTGGAGGAAATAAGATTAACGGGGTCACCTTCTCGGCAGCAAAGAAGACTAAAGTATCAATAACTCATAGTAAAAGGCTTTGGGACGACGATATCACTTTTACGGAAGAGGACGCAGACAGATTATTGTTACCACACAATGATGCATTGGTAATTTTTGTAAATGTGTTAGATTTTAAGATTAAATGTGTTCTAGTGGATCCAGGAAGTTCGGCTAATATCATACAACGGAGAGTATTAGAGCAAGCTAAACTCACTGGAAGCATTATTCCGGCCACAAAGCTCCTAGCCAGATTCATCCTCGCAAGCGTGACGACCCGAGGAGAGATTTTATTGCTCACGAACACTGAAGGGGTAATGAAAACAACCCCTTTCGAGGTAGCAGATGGCGACCTGGGATACAATATCATCCTGGGAAGGCCATGGTTATACGAGATGGAAGTTGTGCCCTCAACGTATCACCTATTGTTGAAGTTTCCAATGCCCAAAGGAATCAAGAGAGATGAATGCATTTTCGGTCTCCAGTAGGAAAGGAAAGGAAAACGTGGCGTAGCAATTACAGGAACCGGCACCTACTCCCGGACCAGAAGAAGTGAGCCCGGGGATAGAGGCGTCGGAACCTTATCAGGTGTTGAGATATTTCCAAGTTCTAGAAGAGACGGATGCGACAAAGTCCACGGCGGAAGAACTGGAGCAAGTAGCATTGTTCGAAGAGTTCTTAGAATGGAAATTTTACTTGGGGACGGGACTACACCCGGAGCTCAGGTTTGCTTTTATTGAATTTCGTAAATTTAATGCTGATTATTTTACGTGGTTGCACGAGGATATGACAGGTATCTCGACGGAGGTAGCCATGCACAAGTTAAGCTTGGACCCCAACATACCTCTGGTAAGACAAAAGAAGCGCCCAATTGCCGAAGCCAGGATCAAATTCGTCAAAGAAGAGGTAACCCATTTGCTTAATATCGGTTCAATCCGAGAGGTAAGATATTTGGACTGGCTAGCTAATGTAGTAGTAGTTCCTAAGAAGAACAATAAATTTCTCATGCATTTAGATTATAAAGATCAAATGATTGATGCCTCGGCCGGGCACGAGTTAATGAGTTTCCTTGATGCTTATTCCGGGTACAACCAAATCAAGATGAACTCAGATGATCAGGAAAAAACTTTGTTTATAACGAATTTCGATACATATTGTTACACTGTGATGCCCTTCGGATTAAAAAACGCCGGAGCCACTTATCAACGGCTCCTGAGCAGGATGTTTGAAGAGCAAATAGGAAAAACTATGGAAGTTTATATAGAAGATATGCTCACTAAGTCTTTTAATGTAGGTGACCACCTTAAACATCTGCAAGAAACTTTCGATATCCTGAGAAAGCATAATATGAAACTTAATCCCGAGAAGTGCACGTTCGGGGTTAGTTTTGGTAAGTTTTCGGGATTTCTAGTATCATAGCGGGGAATTGAGGTAAACCCCGATAAAATAAAGGCCACAGAAGACATCCCGGATCAACTGTCAAATGTAAAGGAAGTCCAAAGGCTCACAGGAAGATTGACAACTTTGAGCAGGTTCATTTCACAATCATCAGAAAAATATCATCGCTTCTTTGCACTGCTCAAAAATAAAAATAATTTTGAATGGACACGGAGTGCCAGCGGGCTTCGAGGGATTTGAAGAAGTACTTGTCAAACCCTACGTTGCTCTCAAAACCAAAAGAAGGTGAAACGTTGTTAATTTACCTCGCAATCTCTGAAGTTGTGGTAAATGCGGTTTTGGTCCGAGATAACGAAGGTACGCAATCTCCCATTTATTATGTTAGCAAAATTTTTACCGGAGCTGAAAATTCTACCCACATTTGGAGAAACTGGCCTTAGTTCTCGTAGTTGCCGCACGGAAGCTGAGGCCCTACTTCCAATGCCGCCCGATAGCCGTGGTGACTACTTTCCCTTTGCGGAGAATTCTCCATAAACCTGAGCTCTCGGGTAGGTTGGCCAAGTGGGCCGTCAAAATGAGTGAATTCGACATAGAATATAAAGCAAGGACTGCAATTAAATCACAAGTCTTGGCTGACTTTGTGGCCGATTTCAGTCCGGAATTATTGCCTCTGGCAACCAAAGAGGCAGTAATGGTGTCGAAATCGACATCGGGGGTTGGACCTTATTTTGCGAACGGGGCTTCCAACGTAAAAGGGACCGGGCTCGGAATAGTCTTAATCACGCCCTCGGAGGAAACCGTATGGCAAGCCATCAGAACGGTCCCTTTAACTAACAATGAAGCAGAGTATAAAGCTTTGATTGCAGGGCTCAAATTGGCTCGGGGACTTGACTCAGAGGTCATCGAAATCAAATATGACTCGTAGCTGGTGGTAAATCAGGTCTATGGGATCTTTGACACCAAAGAAGAACGCATGCAGCAATACGTGATAAAAGTCCAGGCTCTGTTGGCACAATTCCGGGAGTGGTCAATTACTCATATCCCAAGGGAGGACAACGCATAAGCAGATGCATTGGCAAACTTACGATCATCGACGGAAATGAAGGGATCAGAGTCCGAGACGGTAGTGCAACTGATGAACTCAATCCTGGAGGTGGATGGTTATTATGAGTTAAATTAGACTAATTTGGTCTGGGACTGGAGAAATGAAATCATTGATTATCTCGAGCATGGGAAGTTGCCCGAAGATCGCAAAACATACTGGGCGTTGCGCACCAAAGCAGCGAGATACAGCTTCGAAAGACTACAATTATATAGAAAATCTTTCCAAGGCCCGTTAGCCCGATTCTTAGGGGCATCCGAAGCTAACTATGTCATGAGAGAGGTCCACGAAGGAATATGCGGCAACCACTCGGGTGCAGATTCCTTGGTGCTAAAGTTGGTGCCGGCAGTATATTACTAGCCCCGCATGGAACATGACGCTAAAGATTTTGTACGAAAATATGATAAGTGCCAATGCTACACACCACTAATGCACAACCGGCAGAACCTTTACATTCGGTTCTATCTCCATGGCCGTTCATGCAATGAGGGATGGACATAGTCGGACCGCTGCCACCGGCTCCCGAAAAGGTATGATTTCTTTTAATTTTGACTGACTATTTTTCTAAGTGGGTGAAAGTTGGTCTGATGGGTTATATGTGTATCCCTGTTATGTTTTGATGATATAACAAACTTACTGATAAGAACTAAATAAGTAACCTGATACACATCTTCAAGAACGTAAAGATCAACAAGTCTCCAGTTGGGGACACAGTTCAACTCTACAGAGTTAAAGGAACAACAAAGGGAAAAAATTAGCTACCAGTTCCTTAAGAGACTGTACAAGTTAACTGCCCCAGCATTACAATTGCTGCCTGCACACGCTACAGTACAGAAACAGTGCAACAGTCAACTTTATGGGGAATTCCCTTTACCTAACTTACTTGCATCATTCAAAGTGATGTCACAAATGAATTATTAACATCAATCAAGGTAAAACAAATCACTTGCATTCAAGATTTGATCAAACATTCTTTCAAGTCATCTATCAATCTTGCAAGTGACTCTCCAGGGTATCAAGAACAAAGAACAACATAGCAATGGACCAGTTCCCCTTATTGAGTTATTATATATCCTTAGTTGTGTTGTACCTTTGTTGAAGTTCTTTACTTGTAACTCCTACTTAGCTTAGTTAGAAGCCTTGTGTAGGAAACCCTTTGTAAATCATAAACACTTGTGTTTGTGTCTTGGCTAGAGTTAGTCGAGTTGTAAAGTCTTTGTAATAGAGTTATTGCAAAGTGGCTTGTAATAGAGTGTTGCAAGTTAGTGTAGGATTAAGAGGTTAATTACTAGATTACAATAGGTTGTAATCTAAAGTTGCTCAGTAGTGAAGTTGAAATGCTACAAGGGTAGGTCGTGGTTTTTTATCCCATGAGCTGGGAATTTTCCACGTAAAATTCCTCTGTGTCATTTACTTATTGCAGTGTGCGTGTCTCTTGTGGAAACTAATAGAGAACCTAGTTCTCTATATAGTTTGGTGGACCCTTAAATTCTATCAAGGTCCTTATCAGAAGATTGGGGAACGCGAAGTGGTTGATTTCTTATGGGAAAATATAATTTGCAGGTTCGGAATACCAAAAGAGATTGCATGCGACAATGGGCCACAATTTATCGGCGCAAAATTTACAAAGTTCCTCGAAGATTTGAATAAGAGGAACATATCCTCACCCTATCATCCGAGTGCAAACAGTCAAGCGGAATCAACAAATAAGGTGATTATTCAAAACATCAAGAAAAGGTTAGAAGCGACAAAAGGCAATTGGCCCGAAGAATTACCCGGAGTTCTATGGGCCTACTGAACAACGGCCAAGTTGAGCACAGGAGAAACTCCTTTTTCCCTTGTGTACAGTACAGAAGCTCTAATCTAGGTGGAAGTAGGTGAAACCACCTCGAGATATTTCCAGGCAGATGAAGAATCGAACAACGAAGAATTGTTGATCAACCTGGAGCTACTCGAGGAACACAGGGACTTGGCACATGTAAGAATGGCAGCGCAAAAACGGAGAATGGAGCGGTATTATAATCGAAGAGCCAACTTCCATTATTCCAAAGTAGGAGATTTGGTTCTGAGGAAAGTAACTCAAAATACCTGGGAGCTCAATGCGGGGAAGCTTGGTCCAACGTGGGAAGGTCCTTACTGGATTTCAGCTATCACCAGGAAAGGTTCATACGAGTTGGAGTACCAGAATGGAGACAAGTTGCCCAGCAATTGGAACGTGGCGCACCTCAAAAGATATTATTGCTGATGAACAATATCCAATCAGAAAGTATGTGCTGCACTCTTTTTTCCTTCGTTCAGTTTTTGTCCCAATTGGGTTTTTCTGGCAAGGTTTTTAACGAGGCAGCGACAGAAAGCATACTACGGAGACAACAACAATAAAACCTTTAATAACAAGGCAAACAAGCAAGTTTCTACTCGGGGATGGTTAGATAGTCTTTGGCTCTATAGCAAATTCCTACTGGGAAGTTAAGTTTGCTACCGAGCAAAGGTTACCCAACCGTTCACGAGAACAAACCACTAGAGGGTTGTTAGAAAGTCTTTTGCTTGATCGCATAGATTCCTAAGGGCATGTGTTACCGAGTTAATGATTATCTAGAAATTCATCCCATGTCCTCTTTATCCTTAAATCCATTGAGACGATTTGCGGCTTCAAATCTTTCTCTCCACGTATCATGTCCATGATCTTCTTGCATCTTGAGTAAGTGATTAATGAAATTTGTCGTCTGTCGCATCTCTTCTCTCACCCTATCCATCTCATTCTTCAAGTTCTCTTTGTTATTTCTTGACTGCACTCAACCCAGTGTTAATGCCATGGGATCCAACCCCAAACAACATGCAAGCCCAAATGCCAGTGAACCTGGGAATATGGGTCACCGGGATCCACAAGCACCAATTCATCAAGATGTAGGAAACCCAATGGCAGAGGAAATGGAAGAACCCATCAACTTAATAGGAGAATTAATGGTGGAATCCTCAAACCTAGACGAA